AACATCTCGGCTTACAATGACCTTTGTTGTTATTAGGTTAAACAATTTGTAAGCTTATACCTTTTCATCATATCCAATAAAAATATACTTTTTACTCTTATCTTTAAGTTTGGTCTTGTGTTGAGCTAGAATGTGACCATAAGCCATATTTTCGAACACTTTAAGGTGAGTCACACTCAGCTTCTTTCTACTTCAAGCTTCTTGTGGTGTCTTCTCATTTAACATATATAGATGGCACATTAGACTACTTCTGCCCAGAACTTCTCTGGCATATTTTTACCTTTTAGCATGGTCCAAACCATATCAAGAATAGTTCAATTTTTCCTCTCTGCTACATCATTTTGTCGTGGTGAGTACGGAGAAGTCAAGTATCTCTTTATGTTGTGATCCTCATAATACTTCCTGAACTCAGTTGATGTGAACTTACCTCCCTTGTCAGATAGAACAACTTTAATGTGCTTATCGATTTTCTTTTCAACCATCATTGTGAACTTCTTAAATACCTCGAATACCTCAGACTTTTTCTTTAAGAAATATACACATGTTTTTCATGAAAATTTATCCACGAGTGAAATAAAATACCTCTTACCACTTACCATTGAAGGATTCAGGGATAATCAGCCCACACAGGTTAGTATGGACTAGTCCGAGGTGTACCTTTGCTTGATACTCAACTATCTTTGGAAGCTCAGTCCTCAGATGTTTTCCATGTACACACTCCTCACAAAACCTTTTGTCAAATTCCATACTCGATAGTTTGTGAATCAATCCTTTTTCTCGCCAACTTGGCTAGTGTGCCAAAATGTGAATGACCAAAACAAAAATGTCACACCATGGCTTCATCCTTCACATCAAGCTTCAAGCACTTCTTTTGTACTATCTTCAACTCTAGCTTGTACATTCTATTCTTCTTCATTTCTACTTAAACAATCAAGAGGCTGAATTTATCTTTTAAGTATAGTACTCGGTATTTCATCATAACCGAGTTGCCCTTCTCCATCATTTAAGTCATGCTTAGTATATTGCTCTTGAGATTACGTACATAGTACATGTCTTTAATTTCTCCAACTTAGTCATTCTTTTGCAAGTACCAAAATTTACCTTACCTTTTTACCGTCACCTTGAAGTCATTTCCAAATGATACATGCTCGACCTTTTCTTTGGATTATCAAGATACCAAACCGAGTTGTTTGAACAACTCAAACTTAACTCGACACCTGATCGCTTAAACTTAGCTTGGCTTTCAATCTCATCGCCATCATATAATTTGGACTCAGCTCGACATTCAATCTCCTCGACATCATGAATATCTTCGTTTCTTCCTCAACTTCTTCAATAAGGAAGTTTGTCTCCTTCTTTCTCTCAAACTGGCAATACTTCACGAAGTGAATGACATTCCCACAATTATAGCATTTGATAAATTTACAAACATTTGCATAGTGGTTGTACTTGCCACATTGAAAGTAGTCAACTCCTAAGTTGCTTGACTGACCGACATCGACCTCTCTCTTGTCCTTAACCAAATCAATTTTGTAGATTAGATTGCTCTTTGTAAGCTTCATAATCATCTCGGCCTCGACTTCCTCATCCTCAACTTTCTCGGCCTCTTCCACCAGGACATCGGCCTTAATTGTTCCCAGCTTCTCCTTACACGTCAAACTTTGCTTAAAGTGCTTGATCAAGTAGCTCCAACTTCTTTTTCCTACTCTGCTGCTCATGTGCTTCAAGCGACCCGATAAGCTCTTCAACCGAGAGCATCGACAAGTCCTTGGACTCTTTAATGCACAAACGATATTCTCAAAGTTATTTGCCAACAACCTCAAAATTTTTTCTACAACTTGATTGGTAGGCAACAAATCTCCATTTCTGCCAAGTTGATTAGCCACGGTTTCAACTCGAGTTATGTACTCGGCTACACCCTTTGTCTCCTTCATCCTCAAGCTTTTAAACTCATCTTTGAGAGTTTGAAACCAGACCTAATTTACTCGGTCATCCCTTTTACATGTCTTCTCCAGTATCTCCCACACTTTTCTTAAAGATGTAACATTTGCTATCTTCTTAATGTCGGATTCATTTACTGCTCCGTACAACACGTACATAATTGTTTTGTTCTTTACTCGTGTTTGTCTCAATGTAGTAACTTGGGCAACCTATTTTTCGTTGTCTACAAACTATTAGTACCTATTTTTAACTACATCATATTCGTCTTGGGAACCAAAGAGAACCTTCATTTGCAAACTCCAATTATCATATTTGACTTTTTTTTTATCAACGGAGGCAATGACACACTGTTTGCAAGCTTGGTTGGCCATCTCTTTAACTCTCAAACACTTTTTCTCAAGCACCCAGATAGCGAAGCTCTGATGCAAATTTGTTAGCAAATTCCACTCTGTGTATAAACTGATTTAATTCAAGTGTATTATTTCATGTCAACTTAACACTACAATCTACAGGAAAAGCATTTGATTGATTTTTCATATTCAGGCATAATGTCTCCAATTATTACAAAAGACAAGCACTGTAATGACCATTAATACCAAAACATAACACATTAACTTCTTGGCTTTCGCTCTCCTAAAACATTAAAACATTTTCGCTCACAGTAACGGTTAAATAACGTTTATCCTAACCATATAAGTTTATTTTAATGTGAGAGAAATTCATTTTATTAAGTATTTATGAAAATAATGATCAAATGATTATATAGTTTTTGTATTTTCCAGATCGCTAACTACATCCCGGTGAATTTTCGTTTTGTTAGTACTATGGTTGCATGCACAACAAATTTTATAATTGGACAAATTACAATCCATAAATTAATTGAGACAAATTGTGTAGGAGTTCCGTCAAGTCTGGGATCTATAATTTTTTTCCTTGGTCCATGGTTGTTGTATAAGGTTGCATGGAAGAGAGTGATAGAGAAACGTAAACAGAAGTTCTTCAAAAAGAATGGCGGTTTGTTGTTGCAACAAAGAATGTCATCTAATAATGTGGACAAAGCTATTCTCTTTAGCTTAGATGATTTAGAGAAAGCCACTGACAACTTTAACGTGGATAGAGTTCTGGGAAAGGGAGGGCAAGGTACGGTTTACAAAGGAATGCTAGTAGATGGTAGAATTGTTGCAGTGAAAAAATTTAAGGTGGAAGGAAATATTGAAGAGTTCATCAATGAATTTGTCATTCTCTCACAAATCAACAACAGAAATGTGGTCAAACTGTTAGGATGTTGTTTGGAGACAGAAATTCCCCTACTTGTTTATGAATTCATTCCTAATGGTAATCTCTTTGAATATTTGCATGACCAGACAAAGGAGTTATTACCAATGACTTGGGAGATGTGTTTGAGAATTGCCACTGAGATCGCAGGAGCTCTCTTTTACCTGCACTCGGTTGCATCTAAACCCATTTATCATAGAGATATCAAATCCACAAATATACTGTTGGATGAAAAGTATAGGGCAAAAATTGCAGATTTTGGAACATCCCGGGTAATTTCTATTGAAGCTACTCATCTTACAACAGTTGTTCAAGGTACCTTCGGTTATTTGGATCCTGAATATTTTCACACTAGTCAATTTACAGAGAAAAGTGATGTCTATAGTTTTGGAGTAGTTCTTGCTGAACTTTTAACAGGCCAAAAGGCAATATCACCAGCAAGATCTGGAGAGTTCAAGAGTCTAGCATCATATTTTGTTGAGTGTCTGGAGGAGGACAATCTGTTTGACATTATTGACAAAAGAGTTATGAAAGAAGCAGAGAAGGGACAAATCATTGCCGTTGCTAATCTTGCAAATAGATGCTTAGAGTTGAATGGAAAGAAACGTCCAACTATGAAAGAGATCACACTTGAATTAGAAGGGATTCATGGGTTGGTCAGGAAGTGTAATGCAGAGAAAAAAGGTGACGAAGTTGAGCTTGCACGAGTTGGCATCCTTGGGATGGATATTCTACGTCAAAGTCATGGTACTCAAAAGGTTGTACCTATGGTACAATAAAAAGTAATTGGTGAGTTTTCTTAGTTTTGTTCTTCCATGTAATATAAATATATATATATATATATATATTCTCCATGTCGAATTTCCGTAGGTCATTTCTTGGTGGATTTCGTCATCCTGCAATCATAAAGGTGCATGATTGTACAGCAAATTTATGGATAGAGAGACTTAGGAACAGCCCTGGGCTTCACGACTCCTTTTATTCTCCACTTGCCTGCCTCCAATGGCCCTCCACTTTCCTCAATGGGCGCTAAAAATCGTGAACCCCTCCCAGCGCGTAGGAGTGTTTCTGGACCCACCACCACTCCTTTTGGGCTCTATTACTAGGGCCTCACCGCACCCTCTTTGTTGTCTTGTCTGGATATCCTCTCGACCCCTGTGCCGGATAGCATAGGACAAATGGGTGTGGAGCGACAGATCAGCTCCGTTTTGAGAGTCACCACCAACACATGTGTTGAACGTGTGTTCAGCCCCCCCCCGCCCCCCCCTGGTAGAACAGAGCCTCCCCCACTTTATTTGGTTATGTTTCTAAAAAAAAACTGCTTCTTTTAATATGTGGGCGAAATAGTGTGTTGACCGCCAGAGATCCAGAGTCCCGCGGGCCATAAGGGGCTGCTGAGTTGTTAAATATTAGGCAAGAAGTGTACTAGACCAATGTGACATGGGTTTGATGGGCCAGACTGTTGATAGTTGCGGCCTTACAGGAATAATGTATATCCATTGAAAAGAAGACAAATATTGTGAATGTCTAATTGAGAGAGTGAAAATAATTAGGCTAGGAATAGATTTGTGCGGGCAGTATTAATATTATAATTTTTTTACTACATTTTAAATAGTAATAATAATAATAATTTATAGTTATGCATGTGTTTTTTATTTACAAATGTTAAAAAGTTAGTTGGGCAGCTGCCCCACACTCACATGTGGATCCATCCCTGAGTAGGTTCACCATTTAGTTAATTTGCCTTGTGTATCTTTCACTAGAATCATATGGTTCAAATCTGAATTACTATTCTTCTTTTTACCACAGCTCAGTTGAGATTAGTCCTTCACTTGCTGAGGTCCAAAGAGAAACTGTTGGTGAAGTGCGCAGCCATATACCAAAGTTCAGGGTAGAATGTCGTGATGCTTCTGACCGGAGTGGATGGGGTAGACTGCTATTATAATTCTTCCGAATTACATACTATTGCAGCTTCCAATTATAAAGTGATTTAGAATCTAAAGATTAAACTATCCTATAGTTTTGTATTTACTATTATACTATTTAAATTTTTCATTATTATTGCTTAGGGTCTGCAATGGTAAGTCTGTCTCCATTTGACCTGGAGGTAATGTGTTCAAATATTTGAAACATCCTGTTTACTTGTGGGTAAGGTTGTGTACATTTTTCTTTTCCAACTTTGACTAAATGGAAGCCTCATGCACTAGGTGTATTCCCCCCCCCCCCCCACCCCCCCCCCCCCCCCCCCCCCCCCCCCCCCCCCTCCCCCTTTTCTATTAATAATTTATAACAAAATGGCAACAATGGAACAATAAATATGTTCCTTTTATTTTTCCCTATGCGTGCTACAAGGATATATCTATTTTTATAACATTTTATTATGTTTATCATCTCCATTATTTACTTAATTTTCCTATTCCTCATTTCTCTAGTATTCACGATCCTATTAGTCTATCAATACTTGTGTTAGAAATCTTAATGCTTGAGGAATGCTTCAACTGGAATAACTTGTTGCTTTATTGTGTCTTGCCAACTGTTTTAATTCATATACGAGGGTATGGACTTCTATTTTTTCTTAGGGAACAATGTTGTGGAGGAGGGGAGGAGGTAGTGGACATCTATGGGTTGAATGGATGATGGTGCACTTTCAGATGCTAGAAAAGCTTTAGAAATTGCTTTTCACACCTGTTGCAATTATTGGGTTTTTGGGTCAGAGGGATGAAAAGGAGAGTTAGACTTTGGATAATATTGAGTATTTTGACGGATTACAATGAGGTATAGGTTCTTAAAACCTATAACACTAATACTTATTTATACTAACCATACTCCCAATTTAAAAGGATTCATATCATGAGATAAGGGAATATTGTAACCAATAGTATGGAATAATAAGCAAATAGGGAAACTAAATTAATCCTCAAGAATAATACAATGCGTTCTAAATATGATCAAAGATATGCTGATTGATATTTTTGTATATTCTCATAACACCAACTGACTGTTCTAGGTTGATGGAGTTATTATGGTACATGGATCTCAATTATTTACCTATCTTGCCCTTAAAACTTCCTGCCTCTTATTTTGGACGTGTGGTAACTTTGCTGGATAAATTTATGCAATAATGCTAATATTGTTCCCTTCTTTACAGGGAATGTGGAGCAACAACCGTGTTGGGTAATAATGCTTGAGGTGTGTTTTATATTATTTCAATTGTTTCAAGCGGATGCTCTAAAACTTTGTGAAATGGTCAAAGAAAAGTTTCAAATCATATTCTTCTAAAGCAAATAATGTATTAGAAAATGGGGGAGAAAGCTCGTTTTGTACCACTAAAACCCTAAACTATGATGTTTTGGGGGATAAAATTGGTTAGAAGCCTATATCATGGTAGTGTCACTATGGCAAACAAAAAGTCACATTTTGGCTGACGTGGCCACTATTGAAAACTCTACTATTTTAATTCCATAGCTGCCCATGGCCCTTGCTCTGCTGTTATGCTATGGTGCTGCTACTGGGCACTATTCTGTTGCACGATGCTCAACTTTCATTGTGATTTCAAATAGTTAATTAGTTTGTACATGTCAATGAACTAAAATTCCCAAATTTGGTGCTGCCAGTGTATGATATTTGTTTTATTGGCTGCCTGTAATATAGTGGCTGTTAGCTGCTATTGCTGCACTCTGAACTGCTATTAGTAATGGCCAACTACAAGCAATCAACCATTTAGGTATGGCTAGCAGCTGCTTTAATTCATACATGTATGATAATGGCCAATGTTGGGAACCTACCGAGACCTGATTAGCCTGTTCTCATAGTTCAAGGCACCATTTTACTGTTTTTGGCATTAAAAATTTGAGCTGGTAGTTCCCTGTCAGAAGCTAAGATCTGGCAATTGGCTATCTGCCATTATCAGTGCAAACGCATCATAAAAAAATTGAGTCAATTCTGTGTGTTTTGCTAAGAAATTTGGTATTTAGATGTTGCAAATTGGAAATCTTCTTTTGCTGGTGCCTTTCTTTCTCATTAATGATGCATTTATTATAATTTAGATATTAAACAACAATTACTTACTTTGTGTAGGTACTTGATAATCTTCCAAGATATTAATCTAGCAGAGAATCAAAAATTTCTTCATGGAGAAGTCTGGGTTGGAGAGGCAACATGACCAGTAAGTATCAGCTTTATGTTTGGATGCTGAACATACTGGTGCACATAACCCTTGACACATTCTAGTGCTTCATTTGGTAGTAGCTATTAGAAAATCTAACAAATTTCTCATGATATTTTTTTTATATCTTAGAATATTTTAGAATATCCTTGATAATGTTTTTTTATTTTATGATTTTGCTTTCTTATTTAATCAGCATCTTTGTAATTATGGGTCTAATCGTATCATAGGAATGGGAATATTATTTCGTATATTTATTTGTTTCATTACTTCAATACAGTGTACTCACGGTTTCAATATTTCTTGCATTGTATTTGCTCTTTTTAAAACCCTCATATTAGAGCTGTACCAATTAGTCTCCTCTTCCATCGTGTCTCTTTTTTCAATGTCACTATCATTTTTCTGCTGTCCTAATTGTTTTACCACTGCAAAAATATGTGGCAAGTGTTGTTCGGCAACATTGACTTTCCCCATAGGTTATTGGGCCAGCACCAAACTTTCTAGCGACACACATTGTGCTTGCCTCCTGTCCGAGTTTGCCCTGTTTGTTTCTGATGACTGGCTCATCTAGTACTACACCTCATCCTGATAATCCCCTGACAACTTTTCATGATAAAGATGTCCTCTACTGGGAGTGGAGCAAGGCTCGACCATTGTTTTACTACGTGGTGTTTGTTATGCAACTTTTTTCTCACCAATGGTCATTACAGTACTTCTATTCCCATCCACGATCATTGGCTCTTTTGCCGCTAATCAACCATATTTACGGGTAGTCACTTCTATTCCTGCGGATGATTATTATGATGGTGAATTGTCATTTATGGTTCATAATAGCATAGCTCTCTGTCCCAGATGTTGTTGTCAGCCTTACTTTCACGTTTAAATATTTTGGGTCTCCAGTTATATTGCATTCAAGCTTCCAAATGAGGTTGAGGAAGTTGGACCTTGCTTTGCTTGATTGTTTGCCAAGAAATTTCTCAGTTTGATGATTATTCTAGCTATTTGGCTGCGCCATCTTTGTAGTAATTCTCTCTGGGTTCTCCAGCATCCGAATTACCTTTCCAACTATTGTTTTTGGTGGAACTCAGTTTTTATGTTTTCTAACTGTTTTTTATTTGTGGAGACGTGAATTGTTTTTCTTGCACAAGTTGAAAGCTTAGTAAGATATAACCCGAGAGGGATTGTTAGAAAAATATAGGTAATATTTGATGATTACTTGTATCTCTACACCTAAAGTATTTTGGAGTCCTTGACGATATGTTAGGATTTATTTTTATTTTCTATGCTATGATATTTTTTCCTTATTTTAATTGGTATCTTTATATGATGTGAATAGGAAATATTATCTCTAATATTTATTTGATGTGGTTACAAGGGTTGCTAGACAATGTACACCAATGGTGTACAAGAAGACACATTTCAACATATCTTTTGTTCCTCTTATTTGAAAGGCAGTAGCCCACAAAGTAAAAAGATACAAGATGTTTTCTTATTATGTTAATGATTTATTAAATCAGTAACACTTAATTATTTGGCCTCAACCGAAATGAGAATTACACATCACCAATCATTTTTTATCTGTATTAGTGAAACATTCAATGAGTTAACAAGCCCATGCAAGACTCACTATCACGCGTTGGTTGAGTCAGGACTTGGAGAAAACCAACACACACTCATAGCAGTGCAGTTTCTACTACTCTGAAAAGCCGTTTTGGTCTAAGGTTCTACCCAACCACGTAGATGTGGTTCCGATGTTGCTCGTGGTAAGAGTCTTTAAATCTTCCTTACGTCTCACCTATAATTATTTTTGCATTCATTACGTCTCTCTTTCCCAGAAATTACTTGAGGTTTTCTCCCATGAGGTGGTGCCAAAGATGTCTTTGATCTGCTTCTGATTTCAGACTGCAGATGTGAAGTTACCTGGTGAAAGAGCTCCTTGGTTTCAACTAAAGTACATTCTTGTTATACATTTTTAACAAACCACTGTTAGTCTGTTTTTGCATCTTGTAGACTTTAGAGATAAGTTTAATTAACTGAGTTTCCCTTATAAATGGCAGAAAGATGGAAGCAGCACAGATATGACAATTATATGGAGGCTAAGGTTCACTTTACTCTATTTCTAACTTTTTCTATTCTCACTGTTACTCGTCTAGTGTCGTACATTATATGGATAGTTTTGTTGCTTGACACAATCTTACTTAAATTTATTACTATGTTTTTAAGTATTATTTTGTAAATTATGCTGAGGCACTCATGATTTGCTAAAAGGTAATTGCTACAAAAATGCGGCAGTTTGAACGTACTAGAAGTTTTACATTTAATAATTTTATTCAATAAATTCGTATGGCACGATAACTTGTGTTTAAATAATATGGATGTATGGCCTAAGAAGTAGGCACTTCTTTTTAAGATTGTTTTTGGTTAAAAGATGTTAAGAGTCAAATTGTACATCCGAGGGTTAAAATTTTAGGCGGCAACGGTTGACCAATAGTACTTACATTATTTATATGAAGAAACTCATGCTGGACTGCTTTAGCATTATCGAGAGGCTTTCTAGAACACATATTCCTAAAGAACTTAAAGGCTTTGGAGAAAAGCCTGGGTAATATGGACTGAGCATATAAATGTGGTACAGTAATTTAAATTGCCATTTTAACAAGTTTCTTAAATTGCAAGATTAAATTATGTTTTAAAAGTTTTTTCCGTGATTGATATTACTTGCCTTCTCTTACTAATCACAAGTGATTGAGTATTTCATAGTAATTTTCTGGATCTTTTTTGTTGCTTTCACTTGCGACATATGACTATTTAAGCTCAATTACCATTTCACACGAGTACAGAACTAATTACGCATGCTGTCTTGTCATAGAACAATTTGCCTTAACTTCAAAAAATAAAATGGTTTATAATAAAGCTTATGTGTTTTCTTTTTGGTCACGGGTGGACGCTGAGTATTTTCTTCCTACAGAAGTTGGCTCTGCTGGAGCGAATAGATCATTATTGTAATCTGGGCTGGCTAAAAACTTCATGGTGATCTACGTCAAAAAAAGAGAAAGAAAAGGGAGAAAATTACGGTAAGGCAATACCAGAGTTTGCAATGGTGGGTGGGGGGGTGGGGGGTGTGCTTTGTGGGGGGGTGGGGGGGGTCGGGGTGGTGGGGGGGTGGGTTGGGGGGGGGGGGGAGGGGGGGTGGGGGGGGATGGGGGTTGGGGGGGTGGGGGGGGAGGGTGGGGTAGGTTACGGGGTTCATGGGGGGGTGGGGTTGGGGGGGGGTGGGTGGGGGGGGGGGGAGTGGGGGTGGGGGGGGGGGTGGGGGGGGGCGGTGGGGGGGTGTGTGGGGGGGGTGGGGGCTGGGTGGTTGGGGGGGGACGCAATTAGTGTTTTCTTGCTCAATGGTTATATTGATGTAGCTGGAAACATCATCTTTCATGGAGGAGTTTGGTTTACCCACAAAAACGAGAACCAAGGATGGATACAACCCAATCTTGGATGACTTCAAAAATACCAAATTTTATCTTAGTGTCCCTACACACAATACTAAGTAGGTATGGTCATGCTCAATACTAGTACTCTCATCCACCAAGGACGTTCGACGGACGTGTATACCAATCATTCATGGTCTTTGAGCATGAAATGAGTTTCAAAGTACCGTGTCTGCGGTCATACTAATCGATGGGGTTTTTTTTCCTTGGACATGTTGCCCTCCTCTTGATACCCCACAAATTGTTTGATTTAATTGTAATACACAATTTTTACATAGGTTTTGTAACAAACACGACTTTCCCAATAATCTTTTTGTTAATGTCGTATTTGGTAGTATTCTAATGTACACTTGCAAGATTTACTCTCAAGTATATACCTCGCCAAGGATACTTCATCCCTCCAAGAATTTGAAGATAAAAAGAAATATTACTCTCTCAAAAAGTTGAAAGATTATAAAGAATTTACGAATGAGAGATCAAAAGTATTATTTTTATTATTAATAATGATGACATTTAAGTTTTTGGGAGTCGTCATAGGCTTCAATATTTTTAATAAGTACAAGGTATTAGACTTTGTTTATAGCCGAAAAACTTGAAAAAAAATTGCTAAAATGGTGACCGCGGGAATAATAAATACTATAAAAGCTTCAATATTTTTAATAAGCTACAAGGTAATTAATACTTTGTAGCCGAAAAACTTGACAAAAAAATGCTTGAAGAGGTGACCGCACAAGAATAATACTATAAAATAAAAGCTTCAATATTAACGAAATATAAAACCCATGTGTTTAAACTAATTGAAGGTTTTCAAAAGAAAATTAACAAAGGCCTATTACAAACTCAGCTTCTAGCAATAACAACTCAGCTTATCAAGGAACCAATAAAGACAATATAAACACATCGGCTACATTAACATAAGCATTTATTTTATAGAGATTCTACTATTCACTATTTGAAAGTGAGATGGAATGCTGTAACTGAGTACTTATAGCTCCTTCGTGGATAAGAACATGAACAGCATCGATTAGTTTTCTCAACCATGAGTGCAGGACACTGACCGCTGAAATTGAACATATTCAACATTAATTCCCCAATTGGGTGGTGAGTATAATATGTCAATAATCAAAATGATTACAGC